ATATATATCCGGAGATAAAAATTCTCTTCAAAATCAAACGTAATATTATGTATAAATGTTTATTCACTCATCAAAACATCAGATCAATAGTATAGAATCCTAAGGGTTAATATTTTATCTAAATTAGATCTAACTCTTTCCATGCTAAAATATCATTAGAACTACAAATGTATAATTTGAAAAATAAAATAATCATAAAATGAATTCATACATACACTGAAAAAAATGTACACACACACACACATGGACAAATAAAGAGAAAACATAAAAAGTGAGATTACAAAGTAGTGTGAGGAGAGACATTCTTCACTTATTACAGATATAAACGTAAACCTATAAACTATGGAAGTAATAAACAAAGTTAATTATTGAAAGGTAAAACAAATACTTGCAAATGAAAACCACTGATAATATCCTCTTACATTTTCTAAAAATTAAATCAAAGCTTTTATCATTGCAATTAAACGTGTTAATAAAAATGTATTTAATGTGTATGTATTTTATTGATGTATAAATAAGCTAGCTAATTAGAAATTGTTTATATCTGTAAAGTTTGTACACATTGTATAATGAGAAAAATATCAATACCTTCAATAACAACAAGCCTTGTAAACCATTTACTTCATGCTAACTAACTGGTATAATCATGAAATAGTTTGCAATAAACAACCACAAAATTGTAAACATTGGAGGTGTTCGAAAGTAGAAAATGAGTATAAGTATGTCAGTAAAAAAACAGTGGGAATCGATAAGGAGACTGAAATAAAAAAATGAACTATTGACTAGCATTATGACGTTCATCTTTACATTTCGAAAAGTTACACTATTCAATTCATATGTGGGCTAAAATTTCGAATCTCCGGGGGTACGGATTTCGCTTCCAAATGCTCTGATACGGCCAAGAGTATAGAGTCAGTTCTCTCGCTCTTTCTCCAAATGGTCTCATTAAACCACGCGCATATAGTCAACGATATGAAAGTTCCAATCAATGCTTTCCCATCATTCAGTGTTATTTACAAAATTGAAAAGGTCAAAAACAAATGTACGGTTGGTCTTTAAATCGGGTTGGTAAATACGAAGGATTCATCTAGCGAGGTCGGAAAACCCTCATTCTAAAATAATGGTGCACATGAGCTCCAGGATCCATAGAGAACAAACGGCGTATGTACCTATTGTTGTTCGCCAGCTACCATAGGATTTTATCTTCTGAAGTTACTCTACTACCTTGTAGACTAGACCTGTGGGTCAAAGGCTCGGAGAATGGCCCCTAAGCAAATCTAATGATTTGTGTGTCACATATATTTAAGTGTACCTTTATACTAACGACTATCTGTGTAAACAAATAAATATATAAACACAGCTAGTCGCACAATGGCTCTTTGTTCTGGATAAATTAATTTTATTCAGATTTTGAGATCGATGTAATGCGAAAAACTTGTCAGTTCAGTCACAGTAATTTTATCAAATCATAACATGCACATTGGCAGGAAAACATTCAACCATAATCAAAGTAAATACTGAAAAGAAAACAATGAAGATAATTAAAGTAATTTAAATTAGGTTTAGAAGCTGGGTTATATAATTAGACATAATGCAGACCACATTTAACCTAAAACCGAGTACACGAATATGTTCTTACTTGATTACTGCTACTAAGGTGAATTAAGGTTCATTACATTGTTTAAAGATTTGTAATTACGTTTTATGAAACGAAACCTGACATAAGTTCAATGTGATCAACAGAAGTTTAACACTAATTAAAATAAAGCTAATGTAAAACATCATAAATTCACACGATTATTTCCTTTCATTTGTTTATATCATGTTTTCGAGAATTCGAAATCCAAGCGATAAGTTCTTTTCTTCACGATTATTGATAAGGTAAAACGATTTGCACTGAATATTTTATAGACATGGCAAACCGAAACCTGGAATTATTTGAAATCAACTGTTTCATAATAAATTGCAATGATGTAGTGTTTGCAGTTTCTGCCTCACTAACTTGAACGTCATTTCTCTCTCTCTCTCTCTCTCTCTCTCTCTCTATATATATATATATATATATATATATATATATATATATATATATATATATATCAAAAGTCAGACGCAAAATATTAGCCGGTATAGAAAAATATGAAATAGAGAATACTGAAGATTAATATAGTTGGATTAAAAAACAATCCGGATAAATATAAATAATAAAAATCTAACAAACATTACGAGATCAATAAATGAAGGAAACAAACCAATATATTAACTGTTCCATTTTAATCGATAAGAACTCCGAAGCCAAAATATTTCAAAGTTATTTGCAAAGTAATTTCACATTTATTTATCAATCAAATATTCATTGATAATGGTAGAGTACTTGATACAATAACTGACCCTTATTCATTGAACTCAATTACAAATTAACGAGAATGACAATGGTAATAATTGTTATTGATGTACTAAACTGTATAAAGAGACCGGTTAAGAGTTCAATCATGTAACGATTTTTTATAGTTGTTAATCTGTTAAACATTTCGTATACGTAGAATACTTATACACAGTTAACAAACTTTCCAGTCACAAAACCATGTATATGAGCGAACAATATTATTTCCAATTGGATCGTCATTAGACTTTAATATACATGAATGTTTATATGGGAATGTTACACCAAAACCAAGGTAATTTATGAGTCAGTGATCACAATGAAACAGATTACATAAGAAACTATACACAAAAGGTAAGAATACAATTGGATAATATCTCTTTTCCTAAAATGCAACCAGAAGAAGTCGAAAATAAGAATTTTTAAATTTCTATCTTATAACTTTTAAACTACGCACATAAATCGAATCTGATTGTTGAAAACAGTATTCATAGTGACCGACCATGAAATTCACACAAAATCTAATCGATAAATACTAAGAAATTTTTCTCTCATATTATTATCAGTAGCAGGTAGAGAGAAATAAATCCCTGTTTAATCGTCTGCTCAATTTTCGATTAATAGGATACAGAAACAACGCGAGATGGTGAAGATCTATTTCATAAGTCAGTAAGCTAGACGTTGTACCACCTTATCTGAATATATATACAATAAATTGAAAGATAGCATAATGACCATCAGTGCGATAAATTAAATATATAGCATATGTATATACTTTAAAGAGATTGTTACTATGATAAGATACTCATTTAATATTACCATGATACTTTATTTTTGCATTTAATAAAACAACATAAATGACCCTAATATTTGTAGTATTAAATTTGATGTTTGACCATTGGTGGGTAAACTTTTCATTTCTAGAGGCAAAACTTAAATAAAGATTTAATATAAAATAAAATGGAAACTTATTGTAAATAATTTGAAAAGAAAAGAAATACAGAACTACAAGGAAAACATCTCATTATCAGTTTGAATAACAGTATTCATGTTAGATACATATTTATATTACATTTAACCTATTTAGTCAATGAATTTATTTGGGCGCAATAGCCAAGACATAGAATGAACAGCGCTCAATTGATGATATAATATTAGTCAGTCAGTCAGCTACAACGTGAAACTTCGTACGTATGTACATCAGTTCACGTTGCCATACCACATTAGCAAAAACAGATTGAATTTTCAATACAAATCTCATAGTAGTAGAGGTAGCAGAAGTATTAGTGGTATAGTAGATTAAGGTTCAGAGAAGTTATTCAAGTGTAATTCAGTGAAATTAATGTAAAAATAAAACGATAGAGGTGATGAGGAATTCAGAAGGTTACAATTTGAGAGAACACAAAGAATGGATGCACCTGGGCCATTGCAAACGATTTTGAGCCACGTCGTTCAAGGCGTCTAACCATCGAGTACTATCGTCTCGAATTTCGGTTTCCTTCCTACGTCTGAACAGTTGTCGACTGTTACATGCCATCGCTGCCTTTTCCATTTATTTCGCTTTCGCCACCCACTAATGTCTGCGATAGTCGCGTAGGCTTCATATCAGCCTGCACTTTAGCTGACTCCGCTCTTCATCGTGTTCATTGTTAGATGGGATGAGTTTCCGAGCATCTATCACCTCCGTAGATGCTACTGAGATGCACTGCTTATACCTAACTTTATGGTTTACCTTACTAGCGGATGTCACTGCTGTTTCAGGGGCTTTTTGGATATCATTCCAAGCTGCCTCCGGACGGGCATCACTAATATGGGATCGCCATGTCAAAAGATTTTTTCCTTGTGCTTAAAGTTAGTATTTGCTACAAACAAGAGATTATCTGAGCATAGCTGCAACAGACAGTCGCCATTGTCTGTTCTTTGGGTCGCAACACCAAAAATTTCCCTCAGGTGTCTTTCCATTCCGCTCAGTCTACCTACTTGAGCATTAAATTCACTCACTACTATTGTGGTGCGCGCTACTTATAAGTAGTATATGACGAGAGTGTAAACGTAATGTCTGGCAGCAGAAGATGGGGGAAGATCAAGAAAGGAAGAGTGGGAACACAATGGAATTTGTATGAAACGCATGAATAGTGAAATGTCAGACAATGGGTTGATGATGGATTGAATATTTGCAAATTAACCGTTTACGATATGGTTTTCCTATTTTACTGAGTAACTCTGTAATTTTCGTTAAATACAATTTGACTGCCCTCACCTGTGTTCTCCTTCACTACACTATTACTACCTCGGATCGCCTAACTTTTTGGAGGAGGTCCCAAAGCTTCCTGTAAAACTCATCTTTTACCTTATCTGAACTGCAGTCAGAAGGAGCGTGGGCAGGTAAAACGAGGAGTCAACAGCGAGTTTTCCTATTTTTCCGAGTCCTTACTGTCAATATATTGAACAGTTTATACACTTTAGTGATAAACCAAATTCTATAAATTTTAATTTAGTTGAGATCACGAATAGACAATAAGAATTTACAAGTTAGTATATAAATAATGAAAAAATAACTATCCAATGAACTTTATACAAAAGTTAATTCTAAGGAAAAACAAAGAAACCACAAGTAAAATCAATACCTGTTCTCCAAGAGATTCAATTCAATAGGTGAATTTTTTATGATAACATTTCTAGTTGTATAAATTGTAATTGGATCATCGAATACTGACGGTTTAGCATCACATGGTTCATTGTATATTCCAGTAGGATTTATATTATTCAAAGTATTATTAATATTTTTAAAATTATAATTTAATGATTTATCACATGAATCGAAATTAGTCGGTGGTGGTGTAACAACAACGGCATCAGATGTTTCATGACATTGTTGAGGATAATTATGATGATGATGATGACGATGTGTATCAACATTGCCCCCACTAAATGGTATAGATCCACAATGCATAGGTACCAAAATATTACCGGTAGGTAAAACAGCATCAGACCAAGCTGAAAATGTATCTGGTGATTTTCTAGAACATGGATTTGATCGACTTTTTAGTTCATCCGGTAAATTATCAGCAAAATTTGTCAAAGATTCTTCATATTCCTCTTCAACAATAAACTAGTATGATTAAAATATAAATGATGAGCAGTTTATCATGAAAGATTCAAGTGATACAATAGGGATTAACTATGCAATGAATAGTTATACGCTAATAAGAAAAAAACAATAGCTAAAAACCATGTAAAAAGAAAAAGCAGAACTAGAATAGATGTTTACAATGATAGTAAAGAGTGAAATCGATAGTTTATAAGACAAGACATTACTTATTAACTGTTGTTCACAGGTGTTTTATCTATAAACCTGATGAGTGTTGTTCAAATGAGAATGAAGGCTGTCCAAGGGATTAGAGGACAGAAAACGCAACACATGACCCATCGAGAGATGATAACTTTGTGCCAGCTCATTCACCAGGTTCTTGGTATGAACCACACAAGGTATGAAGGCTAGTGATACCCCTTGGCTACACAAACCGAAGTAGCCACAACGAGGTTCGAACATGGGACTTAGTGCCCGCAAATCGATCCCTTCAATCAACTAATGTCATTAGGTACAGTTTACAAAGCTAAATGAAAGAGTTCAGTTACATTTTCAATGTGGTCAACGTTTGGATATTACAATCTTGATGAATCTTAACATACTAGGTTTACAGTTCCATAGGTGTTGCTTCAGACTAATTAATATTGGATAAATTTAGTAAAAGAGTCTAATGAGTTTGCCAAGTGATTGCGCGACAGACTTAGTTGATAATGGTCTAAACGACATCACTTACTGAAAGGGATTTCTTTGAAAAAATATGTTTATTAATACGATAGATAAGGTTGAAAAAGCCTTCAATATAAACTATGAAATTTCGTAAATTGCACAGCAAGCATTTATTATTGAGTATATATGTCTCAACAATCGACCTCAAAAATACATGGTATCCTTACTTAGTTTACTAATTATTATGATGAAACGTAGTTAGAGAACAAGAAGCATAATAATGTTAAGCGTCTTACTGCGTTACATGACTGCATCATCCTCCAGTTCCAAGTCGATTCATCAGAAAGAAACTCTCAAAATTTAACCACAACAAGCGTAGTTCACCATGATAGTAGCTATTATATTTTAGTTCATGATATAAATGAACGTGAAATCTTGCAAGGAACGGAGATAGCTTTAAAAATAATCATTAGTACCAAGAAACTTGATGAATATCCATAGTTTGATCGTTTTACGAGAAGCCATCAACTACATACGAAGTTTGGTCAATGAAAATAAGATACAATTGGCCAGTGAGTGGAAACAGACAAGTACTCAATATATAAACCATTATTATATGTTACTATATGCTATTGTTAGGAGACAGGTACTAGGTTAGGATGGCAGGACATTTAATGAAGTACTGAATGTACATCATTTGAGGTGGTTGAGACATGTGCGACGTATGTCTAACCACCGACTGCATCGTCGAGCTGTTTTGTGGTGTAGGGATAGGTTGGAAGAAAGCTAGAGGCTGACAAATCAAAACATGGCAGAAATTCATAAAGTCACTGACAAGTGGACTGAGCCATGTTGGTAGATATAGACTACCTGGTTGGGGTCGCGAGACGATAGTACTCGATGGTTAGACACCTTAAACGACATGGCTCAAAATCGTTTGCAATGGCCCAGGTGCATCCATTCTTTGTGTTCTCTCAAATTGTAATCTTCTGAATTCCTCATCACCCCTATCGTTTTCTTTCTAAATTTATTTGACTAAATCATACATCTTGAATAATTTTTTCGATCCCTCATCTTTTCCATTACCACTAATACTTCTGCTACCTCTACTACTATGAGATTTGTATTGACAATTTAATCTGTTTTTGCTAATGTGGTATGGCAACGTGAATTGATGTACATACGTACGAAGTTTTACGTTGTAGTTGACTGGCTGACTGTTTACTCGTAAATTTTATAATTTTATTGTTAATAGGACATAGATGGAATTAAAGCATGACCACGTTGCTGCGCGCTGATTGGCTAATTTCCTTTCCAATCAGCGCCTGATCGATTCTTGGAGAACAGGGTAGAAGATTCTCGTGTTTGTAGCTGCACTCTGATTGGTTAAATCTAATCCAGTCGATCACGTGAAACTAACGTTGTATCTATTTTGCCTTTGCCTTCGCCTTCGTCATCACCTTTGGCTTCTTATTTCCATTTAACCTTGCTATTTGGAATATAATCTTTTCCTGTTCAACCGTGTTTTTGATTCTTTGGAACTTGTCCAGTGTATTGTGGTCGGAGAATACTAAGCAATAGGATTTAGCTGGAAATTATTCAAGCAAGCGTTACAGTATTTATCTGTGACAGAACACTCAATTTGTTAACGCTAGCCGATTAATTTATCATAAACATCACCATGTTTTTCAAGTTTTAGTTGATGATGGAATCCTTTCGCATGAAGTTGTAAAGTACCCAACACTTATCTACAAGATGTGACATCAAGGTGAATGTTTTTAGATTTTAAGAGCTTGGAATTAGTCAGTATGAAGCCCTGAACATAGATTTCATACTAGTTAGTTCTCGTCAACAAGATGTATCAGCAACATGATGGATACAATTGGATCAGTACTAAGGAATACAGAAGTATGATATTAATTACTAATAAATCACCAATCAGTATAAATATCACAATCATATATCCTCTGACCATGATACTGAGTGATATAAGTACAAACACAATACACAATACTCATACTCTCTACACACTGCAGATCCATACCTCCTTCAAGTGAGTAACAGATAGCAGGAAACCTATATCTACAGCTTATATATAACCAATAATTAAATAAGATTACATTGGTTTAGTTGTATGCTGAAAACAGCTACCAAATACAGTGTACATTCGGTAATACAACGATAGTTTTAAAAATGTATAGGAAATAATATGTTCATACTATAAAGTATAAGGTTAATGTAAAAAGTCAGTACAAATGTAGGAGAATTGAATGGAAGGAAGAATATAAAATCTGATTTATAGTTAAAGTGAAAATCTAATATTATTTTGTTTTCTTTACAATATTTACTCGTCAGTAAACCAAATAACTAATATTGACAATATTTTTTTATTTGATTTATAGAGAAAAATGCTGATATAGCAAATCATGTATTTATTTTCTTAACAGATCTTTTTGCATTAAGCAGTCAAGAAAAATAAATTGGCTCACTAAATGTAAAAGGCTTTTTCGGTTAGAGTTATGGAGATTATTGTTTTTACACATTTGGAATCATCAATCAATCATTGTTGGACCACCATTAGAAACCTGGAAGCACTGGACGGCCGTTTCGTCATGGTATGGGACTCATCAGCAGTGCGCATCCACGACTTCTGGACCTTCGGTCTTGCGCGTGAACGCCTATCCTTTGAACCACTGGGCCGGCATCCAACAGTGCTACTGTCTCATACCAGGACGAAACGGCCGTCCAATGCTTCCAGGTTTCTAATGGTGGTCTAACAATGATTGGTTGATGATTTCAAATGTGCAAAAAGTTTTGTATGGTTTTTAACTTGTACTATATTTTATTCTCATCAACTTCATGAGTATATGATCCAAAAGCTTGTAATCAGAGTATTACCGTTTTTCTATTATTAGATTTCATTGTTTTATTGAAAATACTAGAGAATAAGATTTTAAATTTTTTTATACATTATGACCATGGTGTCATCATCAACAGTTTTGTTGCTGTTTACATAAAGCAAACATACTTATAGACTTACTTCTGAATTGGGACTTGTATGACCACTGCCATAAGTTGGATTTCGAAAAGCAGTACTAGTAACTATTGGTGAATTTAAAGAACAATCAAATGGTACGGAAGCTGTCAAACGTCTTCCAATATTTGATAAACAGGAATGCGGTGATGAACATGGTGAATTTTCAGTCTTCACATTGATTTCCATCTTAATTTAAAAGAATCAATAAATCACAGAGAAAATTGATGATCAGCTTCAATTTTATGATAGTTATTGTTATAAAGAATTCACCAACTACAGGTCTAAATACTCACTTTCATGTCACACACAATTTTTTTAGTGAATGGTGTTTAGTCGACTACCTAAATCAAAAGTGTGTTTTAAGCCTTTACTTTAGTTATTAAGAGTCAAATATTTTAACACTAATAGTTAACTGAAAAGGTTCAATGCCAACCAGGAAAGTGATATCATTCATGTATTGGATACTAATGATTTCAGCTGTAGACAATCACATTTAAATCGAGAAATATTTCCCATAAAGAATATCATCAAAAAGGTATTTAAAGTACTGAAAGTCTACATCAGCTTGTGAATTTTTGATAAAATTAAATTGCCAATCATTTTATTGATCACAAAGTAAACTATCTTAGGTAATTGATAGTATTTAAAAGAAATTACCCTTAGAAATCATAAAATAATGTAACAACCCTATGGTATTAATCATCAGTCTGTTCACTGAAAACTTAATGTGAGGTACAAAACAGTTAATCATAAGCAAAATCATTACAAGTACAAACAGTAATAACAGATTGTACCATTACACAAGACAAATTCTGTATGAAGTAAACAACACTAACATATAGATGATGGTATAAACACATATATTTACATCGTCATAAAGGAAATAGACACAATGAAAAGATGTACATAATTAGAAGTGTGAATTAATTTTCAGAATTTGATAAACTATCGAAACTATTGTGACCATATTGTTATTCTGTATGGATATATATATATATATATATATATATATATATAACCATCAAACAATATGATAAATTCGCAGAATTCAAACCAATTTTTAAAATACAGATGAAATGGCGAAATTATTTCGAACAATAAAATTAATTATCATCATTAAGGTCATTCGACAACAACATTTACATTGAAGGCCAACTAACTACATCAACCATCTCTAATGTGCACGAATTATCATTGGGATAAATGTGTCGTTTTATGGCGGATATTTAATGCCAGAAAAGCACCGCAATATTCTTTGATTAGTTTTATCGTGTGCGTAATAAAACTAACAAAATCATCAGAAGTTTCAGATATTACGGGATAAAATACGTAGATGGAATCCATAAATTTAATTCAAAGAGAGAGGGAAATATATCATTTCTTTGACGTTATTATACACGAGTTTTTCTCTATAAATTACCACTTATCATTGATTTTCCTGTAAGCGAAATCCTTATTCTTATGTATTAATCAATAAGACGCCAGTGTACAAAACAAATTGAGTCTATTTTTGCCTCAATAAAACAAAACGGCTATCAAAGAATAAATGTATCAATAGCTTAACAAATATTTAAATAATGTTGAACTGAAGTTAATTTGAGTACAGAAAAAGTTGAAATTTCGTCATTATTCTGTACTGTGCATAAATAATGTAATGAACTAAAAATACATCACGATAACAAAACTATTCAAGATCATGGTATCACGAAGGTAGAAATAACATTGTTGTAAGATTCATTTTATTCACATTTTTCGGGAGACCCCATTGTTAGGATATTCATCCAATATCCTAAGATAACTGTTTGTAAGTCTAATACTATTACTGTCACGTACTTCAATGTTGCTTCCCATTGGTTGTCCTGACTAACAGTGTCACTTGAAATGTTGTTTCCTATTGGTCATCCTAACTGTCAATGTCACAGACTTCAATATTGTTTTCTATTAGACCTAACTGTATAAATTTGATTTTGATTTTGACCAATTTGGTCTCGCGTGCTGTTATGGATCAAAATCAAAATCAAATTTATACAGTTAGGACTAATAGAAAACTGTATAAATAGTCATTATCTGTAACGTCTTATGACCCGGACCCGGATCCCCAGTTCGGAATCCTGATTCTCTTCTGGACTCGGACCTCGTACTTTCTGGATGCATGTAGAACACATGTTCTACTTCATATCAAGTCTTCTTCTTTTACTCAGTGGGGAGTTTGGGACAATCAGACTAAAGTAGCCTGTCGTATCGCCGGATCCCCGACCCTCGCTCTCGTTTACTGACTAAGGTAAACTCGTAATAGTTCAAGCGTATCAATTGAAGTGTTTACGTGCATACGTAACACCCATTTACATTGACTATACATACAAATGAGTCGAACTGAATAAACTACATAGAAATTTTAACTACCTTACGTTATGCAAATGAAACATTTAAATCAGTTTAAAAATGATATAAATAAAAGAAACAATTGAAGGGCTTATACAAATGTTTAAACTTCCATAATTAATAGGAAAGCAAGAGGAAGTAGTATTTCTATCGTTAATGCATTACTAAAACATGCACGAGAAGTGGGTGAAACCAGGTTACAAAAGTATATTTACTCCTAAAACTTAATGCATAGGATAAACTTATCCGGATGGGTGTGAGTGATTCTGATTTATTCTACGGTTGTCTTGTGCACTACTAACAAAAATTGTATTTCCACAAATAAAACAAGTCAAAAGTTAGTGATTTCATAGATCGATGACATGTCTTGGTCTCCTTAAACTTCATTCTTCCAAAGATACTTCTAGGCTATTCTGTACAGGACGCTAAAATAGCGGTGGCTGAATATAAGTAATTCATTCTCCAGTCAATTAGGATTGAAAATGTCATCAAATTCTTATTATCCAGTCACTAGGTTGGATTATATTTAAAAAGCCTTCTTTTAATGTTCAGGATTTACTGAGATGAACCTAAAGTGATCCATTTACTCAGAAACGAACGCAATCCTTCAGGCCTTTACAACCTGCTGAACTTTGATGACAGTTTGAAACCCTGTCTTTATAGCCAGTGACATCCGGTTTGATTAGGTTGGTAACTACTAATATACCTTACTTAGTAAACACTTAACCAGTTATTTCTGAAATATACAACTGATGTTAGTTGACCGAGCTTGGAGAGGTATTACGGATATAATTTTCTTGCATTTAAAACAAACGAAAGCATGAATGGGCCTGGCTTAAGGTCGAAATATAATCGTGTGATTGATAAGGAGAGATGATGGTGACCCAACTTGTCTGTTTAAGAATACCAGTTGCAAAGTTGGTTTTTTATGCATCTATAAATGATCGCAGCTGTAAATAGATTGCTTTTAGAGCATAACTGTATGGTACGGTCCTAATTTTCTCGTTATATTGGAATTTTAAGAAGCGCCTATGCGTTGTTAGGTAAGACTATCTATTTTAGTTTTAGAGCACTAATAAAATGAAAAAATCTGAGTATTTTGCTTTTATAAGAGCAGGCATTCGTCGAATAATTAAGTATAATTAATAAATAAAACTTGAAATCTACTGACTTTAGTTTTATAATCCCTCAGCGACTTTAAGAAAGAACTATTCCATCTAACATAATTCTATTAGGCTGTTTCGATAAATTATTAAGATAGACAGTAAACTTTATGCATTCAGTTTATATAGTCTTTCAAAGGTTGTGTTAGTGTGCTGAGGCCATTAAAAAAAAACAGGTTAAAAATAAGACTACAATATGCTGATACCAACGGAAACATCAGAATCTTAATACGTACGTGAAATTAGTAAATATCAGTAAGGTTTATTTAGTTTTTATTCAGCCAATTCTAATAAAGAACTACAAAACACACTATGTTCAGAAATTTTGATCGAGAGGAAAGAAACAGAAACCTCTACGACAAATTTTATCTAGATTTTTCGTGTATTTCTTGTTAGCAACTTGAAGTGATGTACGTCCGCACAAAGTTCTATGTTGTTCTTGACTGACTTGACTGACTAGTAAAAGAGGTATTATGTTTCATCATGAAATTGCTCCATAATATAATGTGTAGGTCAGCAAAATGGAGTCAACAATGAGTCATAGGTAAATGGTAATAATAACTAATTCAACTCCTTTGTGATTTATTAATGTGTATTGGGCCCTGAATCATAAATGAAGTATGAAAGCCAATCATATTTCTTGGCTTCCTGAGCCGAAGTAGGTGGAATCGATTTTAAACATGCCACCAATTTAGTCATCAATGTAAGGATTGATCTAAATTTTCATATCTTGTGACCTTTTGGTAGGAAGTTGAGTAACTTAACCACTATGCCACGAAGTCAATGGCAAAATTGTAAAAGAATTCCTTTCAACACCGATATTTTGATGTGATGCACATTTGAAAACACTATCACTTGGTATTTGATACTATCATCTTGAACTGGTAACATTTCTAAAATTACTGGCGAACATATACTGTTATTAGCAATAAACCGAAAATTTATATGGGGGAATTTCGAACACAAAAGTTACTTAGTTTCTATTATTATCGTAAATCAAAAAATATAATCGCTCACCATATCATCATGCACAGATTTACGTTGTTCATTGGAAGTTTCAGTTGATTTGCTTGCATTCGATTTTGATAAAAATAACAGACTGGGAGAAAACCGACTTCTATCTAAGAATTTTTTCAAACTATATCTTCCTTTTTTTGATTTATCTTTTATATCTGATTGTGCTAATTTATCCTTCATATCGGACTTGACAGGCATAATCGTTTTATGTAATTCAATATAGTGATTGTTTTCTTTTATGGTTGTTTTTGCAAATACTTCTAAGGGACCACCTAGATTTAGTGTATGAAAGAAAAGAAAAAAGTCACTGACATCACTGGTACAAGAAACTAGGTAATGATGCAAGTACATGTTGATTTACGAGTTAAATAGATATCGATAAAGTTATATACTATTAGGTTGTTAAGCTGAAGAGGATATGATCTTAGGGTAATATGAAAGAAGTAAGTAATCCAACAAGGAAAAATTATGCAGTTGTGAGTGATAATCCATTCAAAAGGTTAGTGGTAGTATTCAAATGACAAAACCTCAGTAAGTTGGACAGCCGTCTAACATACAATGCAGCGGTAATAACTCACAATACCACAGGGGAAAGTCTGCAACATGGTTAAAGGCAATCAACAAAGAGACCTAGAAGTGGATTTCATTCTGGCCGACACTGATTAGCAAGAGATATTTACGTATTTGAGAGGACTTATCTTCCTAGTATGATTTAAATTCGAGTCATTTGAGGAGCTTTGACTTTCAAGGCAGAAGTATTTAAATTAAGTATGTAAACAGAATCAAAAATTCTGGAAAATATCAATTTAAAAAAGACATGTAAACAAAGGAAAATCTGTACTTAGTGGTGGATCACAAGATATTTAGGAAAAAACATAGCAAACTCGTTTGCATCAAAAAAAAGCGTTTTGTATTATGACCTTCATAGGATTAAAATCCAATTCCATATTGTTCATATACATGACAAAGAAAAATGATTACGAGTTTGAGGTGTTTTCAGTAAGAATATATAGAAATTAAAATGAGGAAAGTTAGATGGCAAGTAGCAAACATGTCTATATAATAAACTATGTGGCTAAAAAGTAAACTAATTAAATGCACCTAAAAAAAATTTTAAAGGTTGTTTCCCAACAATCGACTGCAGGCATTGTGATGCAACATCCGCATAGTCAAATTTTCTTATATGAAAAAGGGGCGAATTCTAAAAGGTGTGTTTACGTAACGAAAGGACACAAACTAGTAAGCCGCACCGTGGACTACACTGGACGCAGACAAAGGTAGAAATTTCGAGCGTAACGTACCATTTAAATATGTGCCAACAGATCCAATATCCAATATATTTCAGTCTCTTCTTCACTAGCTACTATAAACCAATCGGTTACTTTGTGCTCGATTTTTGTTCATTCTGTACGGTTCCAGTTGCTCGATATTGTCCAGTGAATGGATGGCTAGACACTGGACAGTTTAATTATAGTCAGTTGAGATTGGTTTGTCAATTTGTCTGTCCTGTGACTTGACTGAATAAGTTTGATTAAGAGGAATATGGTTTCTAGATACCAGCAACTATCACATTACCAGGCCGGAGATCAGTTAGTTGCGATGTGGAGAATAATAAGGAAAAAATTCTAATGCTAATAAGGGTAAGTCTCGTGAAATGGTTCAGTAATTAACGGTAAACGTACAGTTATTATTGTCACGTACAAAAACCATCATGTAAAAAGTTTCGACCTATAAAAAACAAGCGATATAAATCGTAGTGCTACCGTTGGCAAAAAGGCCAAACATCTTAACTGCCTTCTGTGTTTCATTGATTTTCTCCCGAAGGATTAAAGATAGGCCAATTTAATTTTACCGATCAATATTTTGAGACATTTGGTAGCTGATTCACGATTACGAATAAAATGCAATAATTGTGGCTTTCTCGAAGAAATTATACCTTTAACCGATGGTGCGAGGAAACACCAAGTTATTCAAGTCGCGCTTCGGTAACTTTCATATTTCTATGGATGAACGCTGCGATGAACGTCTGTAGTCAGAAGACAGTTCTATCTGACATTCATAATAAAACATACCGTTTATTTATTATCTTTCGAGTACACCAACTTCATTCTTACACCTATCCATTAACAAAATCATTATGTAACCGTTTAATGACGCCATAAATATACATAGCCCTATTACGTACATATAAAAATACTACCAAGCTGAAAGTGAAACCCTATTTGAAATGTATGTAACAGTTGTTTTACAACTGATGAGTTTTCTTTGTTTAGGTAAGTAATATATGACAATAATTGTTTTTTTCCTTTTAAACTCAAACAATACAGTCATAATCCATCAGAATGTAGTGATCTACTATCATGAAGAGAACGCCAATGGTTTAATAGAAACAAAAATTATTATAACCAATTGTACCAGCGATTGTTTTACTCAACCTCTCTGTTTATTACTATCCGTCCTCACAAAGTTTCCTTTTCTGTAGCTGTCATTTCAGCTCCTCTGTCTCCGTAATTTCGTCCTTTTTTCAGGCACGATTTTGGTATTCTTTCGCCAGTAATTATATTATTCGTATGGATTATTTTATCTTCTCTATGACGGGCGCGAAAGTGGTCTGTAGTGGCGATCATATCCAATCTTGACTCATCCCACTAAAACCTCATACGGCAGTAATGAATTTCAAGAATGAATGTCTCTGGAAGAATACCTGGGTGACTAGATTTACAGAAAATAATCAATCTTTACGAAAATTAGGTTGTTTTTCCTAAAGTCAGGCATCTGTTGGTTATTTCATTCCAATAAACAGCACACTGCCCTAAACGTTTTTTGGTACTGATTATATCATGTACAATCTCTATTTCTAACACTTTGTCCGGCATTTTTGCTTTAATGCTAAGATGACGCATCCTTTCTGTCAATCAGTCGATAACTGTTGTCTTAACTTAAAATCTTTCTGAGTAGCATATGGGACACATTTGCAGTTATCTATATATCTGGCTTTAGTGTTTCAGATGGCATAGCGCCCGGTCCGATTGCCTTTCCGTGCTTGATTTGTCTGGTGGCCAAGCTGACTTTTTTATTGTTGATGAGATATGACAAATAGGGTCTGTGTGTGTTGTTCAAATGTCCTGAAGTTTCGTAGAACTGCTTTATTCAAGAACTGTTCCAGGCGTTCTATCTACTTTTTGTGCTGCTTTTGAATAACAGTGAAATATTTTCTACTTTTTTTCCTTCATCGTTGCTCTGGTTTATCATATTTCCATGTTATTTTCATTGCCTTGTCATATGATTTCCGCATATTACCTTCATTTGTAACTCTCTTTTCAGCAGGTGCATTTATTGACTTCTGAACATCTCTGCTTTTGCTTTGCTGATCTTGACTGTCATCTCCATTTTCGATTCCTTAAATCCTTCCCAAGGTATCGGCAAAGATCAGATCATTGTGTAATTGCTTCTTCCAGCACAGTACCCTCAGACTTGTTGGATATATTGTGTCTGAGATACCCCTACCAACTTTTCACCATAGCATTTTCTCTTCTTCCAGTAGTTATTGTCCAGCCTAAAGCTTATTGCTGCGAGCTTTTTTTGAACTTGCTGAATTCACTAACATTCCAAATAAAAGATGTATCAAGCTAAGTTGATACTGTCTTTTCCGCTGTCCAATACTTCTTTAACTTTTCCAATAGTTTATTACAGTAGACAGCATTTTTTCCTGACCCATTTACATGTGATTCCCACCGCATTTTTCTATGATTTTTAAGTATATCCGTATCACTTACCTGTAGAACTTCTTTTCCCCAAATGGAACGCTAACAATTGGCGACAAGGATAGCAACATGGCGGATCGATTTCGGAGTTAAATCTGCAGACTCTAAGTCTTTCGCATACTACGCTTATTCATCCTCAAGAATCTCCATACGATACAGTCTAACATATTACATTAATTCTTCGCTATGTTTCTGTTTAAAAACCCTCATCGTACATGCAGCTAATGCATCTCGTTTTGCCAGATATTTTCTCAATCCACAATAAAGTTACTCCTATTGGTTTTTCATGTAGTTTACAAGGGATATCGCGTGTCCACTATGAGCCACAGCTCACATGTTCTTAACGAGTAGCCAGTTTGTTGTCATGTAAAAGTGCCTATATGTATGCATGAAACCACTCGTAAATTAATGTAAAAGCTAGATAATAAACATGATATTAAACGTACTATTCGACTGTCGCCGTCTGTATTTGTGATTGTTGACCACTTCACACTTTTGATTTTAACATTCCGCCTCGTCAGAAGGTTAATCCTCCTAGTATTACCAGGCGTTTACTCAAAAATAATCGTAAACCTGAAAATCAGCCTCGGCGGTTTGCGTGCATTTATAACATTTATTGAAACTCACAGGGCTAATGAGTCAAGCACATTGACTGAGTAAGTGGGTGAACAGTAAGTATGGAGAATGACTGTGCATTTTATGGGCGTTAGTCAGTAAATGAATAAAGTTATTTTTTCAGTGTTTGAAACAAATTAGTGAAGAGATAAGTGGATGAGGTGTAGACATGACTTCAATCATACTGGAACAAATGTGTACATATTAGATCAAATAGAATTATGACAGGTTTTTTCGGCAGTACAAATAAATTGCTGTATGCCTTGACCAACGGCAGCAGGAGCTAAGTTAAGATGTTCAGTTGTTCAGTTATATTTACTGTCTCATGAAAAGCTCTGTATACTTGGAACGCGAACAGAATTATCTTGGCGAGGCTACGTGTAACATTGATAGCACTTATTTCAGTCTGATCTTGATATGTGACAAACGTTCATGTGTATGGCTAAACCCCCCATGATTGCAGTAAATGCATCAAATCGTCATTAAACTCCTACGTCGAACCTGCGAACGGTTTCAGACAAACACGAACACAATTACCAGTAATAACTAGCAGGAACAAAGAGCATTTACAACAACGTTTGAGAAATCAATCTTCACTCCTCCCCGTCCGTATTGTTTTTCTAGTCAATACACAGTATTTCCCTCTAATTTCCACAAATCCAAACTGTTACTGTGTTGCAAAACAAAGAGGGCTTAAAATGCCGTCTTCTGAATTAAACTATCTCATCATTACAATCCTTCGCAACACATTAAATACTTCATTTCAATAACATCAAGCTTCCTATTACCTAATCATACTGTTACTTCTAGAGAGATCAC